ACACACACACACACACATACACACACACACACATACACACACACATACATATACACACACACAAGTATATACACACACATACACACACAAGTATATACACACACACAAGTATATACACACACACACACACACAGTATATACACACACATACACACACACACACAGTATATACACACACATACACACACACACACTACACACACACACATATATACACACACACACGTACACACACACATACACACACATATATATACACATACACTTACACACACACAGACTACACTAACACACACATGTATACACTCACACACACTATACACACACACATACACACACACACACACATATACACACACACACACGTACACACACACATACACACATATATACACATACACTTACACACACACAGACTACACTAACACACACATGTATACACTCACACACGTGCACAGACACACACACACACTGGTACACATCACAGACTGTATACACAAGTGTTCTCAGTGAGAGTGACGTCTCCACATCGTTCACTTCCAGTCAAATGAAGCTCATAGAGGTCTGCAGGAATTTGGTTTCAGTTTCATATTTTGAATTCCAGCTGTGTGTATCATAGCAACCAAAGAGCCAATCAGGAGCTTATCAATGCTGTCAGTCAAATCTGTTGCTAACGGTGACAGGAGTCACCTCAGGGAAAGAAGGCGTTTGATTGGTCAGTTATTAATGTTCAGATCTTGACTGGTTCACAGCAGCAGTAGCAGTGCCCCTTCTTCCTGATGTTTCCATCTCTTGGTGTTGTGATGTTCCACCACCACGGCTCTGCTCTGTTTCTTCTCCACCTCCACTCTGTCTGGTTGGTTCATCTCCATCCTGTCAGTCTGTATCTGAAGTCCCACAGGATCTTGGCTCAGTCGTTCTCCACAACCTTTGGAGGTGTTTCCCACCTTGATCCTGGGGTCTCCAGCCTGGACTCTGCACAGATGTTTCTGTTACTCTGCCCGACACTTGGTTCTGTCTCTCCATGTTTGTTTCCCTGCAGCATCTTACACCTGCAGTTATGTGCTGGACTGTCTCAGGAGCCTCTGTGCACAGTCGACACCGTGGCTCTTGTCTGGTGTGGTAGATCTGATGTCGACTGAGGCCCTGGTCTGGGCACTCGAGCAATAGGGGCCCAGATCTACCACACCAGACAATCTATATCTATATCTATAGATCTATAGATATAGATATATGTACTTATTAGGGCTGGGCAAAAAATATTAAATATTAATCACATTTAATCTCATGTTATAAGCAAAACCAATTAATAAATAAAAAAGTAGAGTACAGCTGCACTTTTAAAGGAAATGTAAATGAAAGAACCAAACATTTGTTGTGCAGCAGCATTTCTTTCAGAGTTGAACCGTCAGAGTTTTCAAGGTTTTCTGAAGGCTCAAGAAAAATATTGAATGAATTTTTGTACTACTAATATATTTTTTCTATATTTTTTATTCAGTGAGTAATAAACACGACACTAGTAATAATATCTAGATCATAGTTATAAACTTGGACTGATATTTCTTAGGAAACAAAGGGTTAATATAATGGAATAGAAATGGACCAATCACAATTGTTCTTCCAACAGTATCTGGGTAAATCAGTGACTCCCCCTGCAGCGCTGAACTAAACAAACAAGCTCAGCTCAGAGCCCACGGCTGGTCCGGCCGGAGTCGGAGCCCACGACCCACAGAGGCTCAGACATGTTGCATCTCACGTGGTCAGAAAAAAGTGAAGAAAGTGTAAAGAAAAGACATCAAACTTAAAGAAACGCTCGCGGTGGACTTGTTTCAAAATAAAAGCCAGTGAGAAACAGATGTTTACAATAAAAAAAATAACAGCGACAGTGAATTAATTAGTTAACGCAAAATGAACGTGTTAACGTGCCCGGCTCCAGTACTTATATGTGTCTATATCCTCCGAATGTAAAAGCGTCGTGAGGCGAGAGTCAGACCTGCTCTCACAGACCTGCCCCGTCTCTTCTCTCCACTCATCTGTTTTAAATGATTCTGTTTATTTGATCTGATATAATCTGATTTTTATCTCATATTTCGTCTTTGACACAAGCTTTAATATAAATAAACGTGGACGCACATGTACAGACCCGGAGCTCCGACGTACACATCACTTTATTCTTCCCGCTCTTCACTTTGTCACTTTCTCTTTCTTCTCCTCTCCTCCCTCTCTCTCTCTCTCTCTCTCTCTCTCTCCTCTCGTCTCTCCTCCCGTGTGTTTTTCAGAGTAACATACACAGTTGTCAGGAGCAGATCTTTGAAGTGCAGAGTCTCACTGAAATCTTTCTTATATATTTACATTGAGACACACAGAGACGACGACACAGACACACACACACACACACACACACACACACACACACACACACACACACACACACGGACACAGGACCAAGGACTTTATGTAAAGAGAGAGAAAGAACGGAGACTTCAGAGATAAAACAAGAGCCCAGAGCACAAACGTCTGAGTGAAAGTGCAGCTCACGAGGCGAAATTCAATATTTAAAGTGAAACTAAACATTAAATTGACTTTTTTGCTCCCAAACTCTGGGGTTTTGATATTATTGTCCATTGTTCCCAGTCAAACCAGGAACATTTGCAGCTTTCTGGTTGTTAAAAAAAAAAAAAAAAGTCTAAAAAAAACCAAAGTGTGTGTGTTGATTTCATTGGCCTCTGCAGTTTGAAGTACTATGTGACATTACACAGCACTGCTATGATTACAGACAGGTGTTTCTGATACAAACACCTGTCGGCAGGGGCGAGAGGAGAGAGAGAGGAGACCTGGTCTAGTCTCTGGTCTAGTCTCTGGTCCGGTGTCTGTTCTAGTCTCTGGTCTTGGTCTCTGGTCTAGTCTCTGGTCTAGTCTCTCTTGTCTGGTCTATGGTCTCTGGTCTAGTTTCTGGTCTGGTCTCTGGTCTGGTCTCTGGTCTCTGGTCTAGTCTCTGGTCTGGTCTCTGGTCTCTGGTCTCTGGTCTAGTCTCTGGTCTAGTCTCTGGTCTAGTCTCTGGTCTCTGGTCTAGTCTCTGGTCTCTGGTCTAGTCTCTGTCTAGTCTCTGGTCTCTGGTCTCTGGTCTAGTCTCTGGTCTGGTCTCTGGTCTAGTCTCTGGTCTAGTCTCGGGTCTCTGGTCTAGTCTCTGGTCTCTAGTCTCTGGTCTAGTCTCTGGTCTAGTCTGGTCTAGTCTCTGGTCTAGTCTCTGGTCTCTGGTCTAGTCTCTGGTCTCTGGTCTGGTCTCTGGTCTAGTCTCTGGTCTAGTCTCTGGTCTTAGTCTGGTTAGTCTCTGGTCTAGTCTCTCTGGTCTAAGTCTCTGGTCTAGTCTCTGGTCTAGTCTCTGGTCTAGTCTCTGGTCTGGTCTCTGGTCTGGTCTCTGGTCTAGTCTCTGGTCTAGTCTCTGGTCTTCTCTAGTCCTGGTCTCTGGTCTCTGTCTGTCTCTCTGGTCTGGTCTGTGGTCTGTGGTCTCTGGTCTAGTCTCTGGTCTTAGTCTTAGTCCTGGTCTGGTCTCTGGTCTAGTCTCTTGTCTGGTCTCTGGTCTAGTCTCTGGTCTCTGGTCTAGTCTCTGGTCTCTGGTCTGGTCTCTGGTCTTAGTCTTAGTCCTGGTCTGGTCTCTGGTCTCTGGTCCGGGCTCTGGTCTTTGGTCTCAGATGTTCTTTGTGGCTCGTCCCTCACAGAAATGACACGCCTCTCGTCTTCCTCATTGATCGGATTAAGAAGTCGCCTTAAATTACTTTCCCACAATCCCCCTGAGCTCCGCCCTTCAGCCGATGACGGATCACCATGAAACCCCGAAACCCCGAAAACCCCGAAACCCCGAAACCCCGAAACCCCGAAAAACCCCGAAACCCCGACACCCCCGAAACCAGACGCCCAAAAATGCGGCGCCCTCCTCTCGCCAAAGCAAAGCACTCTGGGAAACGACGGCGAGAGAAGTTAAAACTCTCTGACAGAAAAAGAGAGTTTGTGTTTAAATACACAAAGCAGAAGGTTTAACCAGAACTAAACCAGGACTAAACCAGGACTAACAAGGACTAAACCAGGACTAAACCAGGACTGAACCAGGACTAAACCAGGACTGAACCAGGACTAAAGCAGGACTAAAAAACTGATCTGAAAAGCAGGACTAAATCCGGGCTGAAATCTGACTTAACCAGGACTAAAGCAGGACCAAACCGGAACCTAAACAAGGACTAAACCAAGACTAAAAAACAAATCTTAAAATCAGGTCTGAAGTAGAACTAAACCAAACTTCAAGTAGGAATAAAGCAGAACTGAAACTAAACTACAGTAGACTAAGACTAAAACTAGACTAAACTATAAGTAGGACAGAACCAGGACTAAACCAGGACTAAAGCAGAAATAAACAAAGACTAAACAAAGACAAAGGGACGACATGCACACTCCACTCACAGGTCCGGACTCTAACCCACAACTATCTTCTCTAGGACTAAACCTGGACTAAACCAAGATTGAAACCAGATCTATAAGTAGGACAGAATGAGGATGAAACCAGGACTAATCCAGGACTAAACCAGGACTGAAACAGGACTGAAACCAGGTCTATAAGTAGGACAGAACCAGGACTAAACCAGGACTAGAAAAGGATTAAACCAAGACAAAACCACGCGCACTTCCCTCAGAGATCCAGAGTCTAACCCACACCCTCTAGGACTAAACCAGGACTAGACCAGGACTAAACAGGACTAAACCAGGACTAAACCGAGACTAAACCAGGACTAAACCAGGACTAAACCAGACTAAACTAGGACTAAACTAGACTAAACAGACTAAACCGAGACTAAACCAGAAAACCGACTAACTAACCAGGACTAGGACTAAACAGGACTAAACCAGGACTAAACCAGGACTAGACCAGGACTAAAGCAGGACTGAACCAGGACTAAAGCAGGACTGGAGTCTAACCTGTTTTCTGTTTTGTGTTTTGTGTTTTCCAGGCGGATGTTTCCCAGTTACAAAGTGAAAGTGAGCGGGATGAATCCTAAAACCAAATACATCCTCCTGATCGACGTGGTCCCAGCCGACGACCACAGATACAAGTTCTGTGACAACAAATGGTCAGGAAATATTTATCTACTACTACTACTACTACTACTACTACTACTACTACTACTACTACTACTACTACTACGCTACTACTACATGTTCTAATGTAGTTTCCTCTTCATGAACAGACCTGGAGTTGTGTTTTGTTTCATTCTCACATGTTTAACACACAAACCTGCAGATTTAGGCTGAGAACTAAACCAGGACTAAACTGGGATTAAACCGTGATTAAAGGAGGACTAAAGCAGGAAGGGAAGTTGAATTAACTTAAACCATAACAACTTTGGCAAATAACCCCAACTCCATCCCACATTTAACTTTCAAATAATTAAAATAACACTTTTGTGTTAAAAACAACTATTTTAACCCTCCAGTTTTTGCTGTGCATTTTGAGCTTTGGGATGTAGACAGATGAATAATAAAGTTTTCGGTGCTTTCACACCGACAGTAGTTGTTTACACCAAACGGTTCATTCAAACCAAAAGTTCTTAGTTCGGTTCGTTTTCGTTGGTGTGAAAGCTTCAATCAGACTCGGACCCGCATCAAATCAAATGGGCCGAGACCTTAAGAAAGAGGTGATCTCGGTTCACTTGAAACCGGAACTTTGGTGCAGTTCCTCTGGTGTGAACTCAAGTCCAAACCAGAGACAGCAGGTCCAAACGAACTATTCCAGATGCATCATGGGAGACGATACGGGTCTCTTCTGCCTGAAATGACGCGCTGCACGACTCCAGTGTGATAACAGATTGTTGTCCAGACGCAACCGTGACTCATTTCAGAATTATTTTGCCAACAATGGGAGAGAAAGTAACACACGAAGATCAGAGCGAAAACCAACGTGTGAACATGTGGCTCCAGAGTGAGTCAAGATTAGGGGAGTGTACGTCTGTTCAGGACCTGCACAGAGACGACCCTGTGTTCCCCATGTTCACGTAGCAACAGCATTTGTTATTTTAGACTTTAATTAACCAAATCATTTTATGGCAATAGACAATCGCCTATTCAATTGATTCAACTTTAAAAATGCAGAGGACGGACGCTCAGAACAACATAGAACCAACCAAACTGGACTCACGCTTCTGTCCGGATGCTGCACCACCTCAGAACCAGAACCAGCCGTGGTTCTTGAGCGCGGAGGAACAGAGAAGCCCGTCCGGACCTGTAGTCCACAACACATTCTCACTTTCCCCACACGGAACCAGCGCGCAGACGATGACATGGAACCACTCGAACCCAGTCCATCAAGCACTGGTCTTACTTGCCCCCGTCTGAAACCAGCACATGGAGGACGAACGTGCTCGGATGATCAGACCAAGGACCAGACCCCAGCCCCGTCCTGAGGGTCGGAGCTGCGGTGAGTAGCTCCTCTTTATCGCTGTTGGCTGCTGTTTCCTGAGCTCAGATCTTCTGCTCCGGATGTGGTGAGTTTGTACAAAGTTCTACATGTTGCTGTTTTATGAGTTCATGATGACACTTGAGATGAGGACGACCTGTGGTCTGAACAGGAACATCAGTGTTGATAATTGGAGGTGTCGCTGTTCTACCGGGAAACAGAGGAACAGAGTCAATCGGACTGATTTTGGTTCATTTGTCGGTGTGAAAGCGGACCACTCACTCAAACATGTGAATGAAACAAACACAACTCCAGGTCTGTTTTTGAGCAGTAATATTCTAAACCGGGGTGTCCACATTTTTTTCAATCAAGGGCCACAAATCTAAACACAGAAGAAGCAGAGAGCAGATCGAGAGTCGTAGACTGATCTTCAATACAGTGAATAATTAAAATATGTGCATGTTTAACATGTTAGAATTTATTCACGCTGAGATCCTTAAAACCACTAAACACTAAATATTAAATATTTACTTTATCAAGATAGATTTTCTAAAAAACTTGCAGTAAAAAGTAAATTTTTCATTGATGCAAGGCAATTTGGGCCAATTCACCTGGAAGCCTGAGGGCCAAGAAAAATTTGTCTGAGGGCCTCATCTGGCCCACAGGCCATAGTTTGGACATGTCTGGTCTAAAAGCTCCGTCAGTTTGTGGAGTTGATCCTGAACAAATAATGAGAAGGAGAAACATTTGTGGATCAGAAGTTTGGAGATTTCTTTAAAAACGAGAATCTCTGGTTGAGTTTTGTAAAGTTCTGGTGGAGTCGCAGAGACTCTGAGTCTGGAAACATTTTAAACCATCTGATCATTTTTACAGTCTGGACATTTTAAAGGATTTAGAGGATTAACTAATGCATTTTTATAAACATGAATCATACACGTAGAAGACTTCATTATTACAGCCTCTCTCCTCTTTCTCTCTCTCTCTTCTGCTTCCTCTCCTCTTTCTCTTCCTCTTCTCTATCCTCTTGTGCTCTCTCCTCTTCTCTTTCTCCTCTCCTCTCTCCTTTCTCTCACTCCTGTGTCCTCTTGTGCTCTCTCCCTTCTCTTCTTAGTTCCTTTCTTTCTCTCTCTACCTCCTCTCTTCATTCTCTCACTCTTCTGTCCTCTCTCCTCCTCTCCTTATCTCCTTTCTCTCCTTTCGTGCTCCTCTCATCCTTCTCTATCCTCTTCTTCTTCCACTCTCTCCACCTGTCTAAGCTCTTCCATTTCAGGTCCATCTCTCTCTTCTTTCCTCTTCCCTCTCTCTCTCTCTCTCTCTCTTTCCCTGTTTCCTGAGTTTAATCCCTTCCACTTCAAGGTTAAAGTGGGTCGTCTCTCTCCTCCTCTCTTTCGCTCTCTCCATCCTTCCCTCCATCCCTCTTTCCTTCTCTCTCTCTGTGTTTCCTGAGTCTAAACTCGTCTCGTTCGGGGTTAAAGTGGTTTTACAGGTTGAGCTCTGGTCTCCATCACAAACACCTCACGCGGGATAATTGCCCCTCCACCCCCCTCCTCCTTTTACCCCCCCCCCCATGTGCGTCTGGGTGCACAGGGACAGGGCTCTGCTGCAGGTTCACTCGGGCCACGCTCTCGTTTAACCGACGACCTGCACTTCAGAGAAACAACGATGAAATGTTAGTAGAGTACAGAGTATAAGAGTACAGAGTATAAGAGTACAGAGTATAGAGTACAGAGTATAAGAGTACAGAGTATAAGAGTACAGAGTAAATCCGGTTTGGGCAATTCTTTTTTCCTCGGGGCCACGTGAGAAACAGAAAATATTGTAGAGGGTTATTTCAAAATATTAATTGTATTCCTTTGTAAAAACGCAGTAGAAATGTAACAATATCCAAACCTCTACGTACGATTTTTCACGACTAAACTAGGACTAAATCTCACGGTCGGTTGAGTATTTATTGTCATATTTTCTTGAGACAAACAAAAACTGTGAATTTGCAAATCCTTTTTCCTTTTAAAATGTCCCGACAAGACTTTGGTTCTGTCGTAATCCAAACAAAGATTGTATGGAGGATTTTTTGTTTGTTTGTTTGTTTTAAATTGTCAATGAAATTTTAAAATACCATTACAGAGACGCAGCAGAATTGTAATTATGATGACCAAAAAAAAAAAAAAAAAAAGAATGAAAATCTATCAACTGTGGACGTGTTGAGGCCAGATAAACATCAGCCAATAGAAAACGAGGCTGCCTCATTTTCTATTGGCTGTTAGGTTGTCAATCAAACTCCCTACGTTTCTAGTGTAACTGACTCGTCGGCGCGCGGGGATTACGTGGTTTATGCAGCGGTTCTTAGAGACTTTTTCTTAGTGCTGTCAGGCGATTTAAAAAATTGAGAGATTAATTAATTATGATCTGTAATTAATTAATCTAATTAATCTCTTTTTTAATCTCACCTAAAAATTGCTGAGAAAAGCTTCAACTTGAGGTATTTTCATTTAAATTCATTATTACATTATTGTGTCAGATCAAAAGACTGATATAGAACAAAAAAAGTGACGTTATAAAGTCAATTATTGTTTAACAAACTTTAACAGATGCAGTCACTTACATTCCACAGTATCATCATTATTATTACTGTTACTAATCTGCATAAATAAACTCAATTTTACAACATATAAACCATGAACACTCTAGAGCCACATCAGCCCGTTTGACATTATAATGTGTTTAATGCAGATTTGTGCAAATCTCACTGAAACAAAACTTAAAATCACATGGCTAATTTGCATAAACTAAGCGAGGAAAAAAAAAAAACGATCTTGTGCACTGATGCCGTTCAGCTTCTGTTGGACTAAAGGACACGACTCAGTGGAATGTGAGTGTTCTTTCTGTGACAGAGGGATGTTGAAGGTGAAGTTGAGTCTGTTCTGTGTCTGTGTCGCGATGTTTTCAAAGATCAGACGTGCGCAGGTTTATCGCAGGTTTATCGCAGATGCGGCGAGAACGGGAATGAAAAGTACAATTCTTTGCGGGTGCGATGTGTTATTGTCCTAACAACACATAATAACAGGCAACTCGCATACAGAAACAGTAAAGTTAGAGATGAAAAATGAGATTAACGCGATTAAAAAACATAATGCGCTAAATATGACTGTAATTAATTCATCGCAATTAACGGCGATAATTTGGCAAGGCAAGACAAGTTTATTTGTACAGCACAATTCGTACACAAAGTAATTCAAAGTGCTTTACAGAATAAGAAATACATTAAAATCATAATAAAAACAAATCAAAACATAAATAATCATGAAGATTAAAATTAAAAAAGAGAGACAGAGTGTGGAATGAAAACCTTTCAGTTATTTGCACAGTTAAACAGAAATGTTTTGAGCCTGGATTTAAACAGCGTCACAGAAGAGTCTGTCTCACATGTTCAGGAAGACCTGAACCTGGCCTACTTTTTCTAACCGTAGCTTCCTCGCAGTTCACACAAAGTTTGTTGCAATTGCGGACGCGAATCCACGACCAGTTCGCCGCAAAAGAAAATCAATTTTTGAGGTCGCTGAAAGAAGAAGAAGAGAAGGGGGAAAGGAGCAAAGACAAACTGAGGCGATTCTTGGAGATTCCTTCCAGCGATGGCGCGAATGAAGCAGGCGAAGGATCTAAAAACCGACGCGTGATCATGGTCTTTGTAGTTCACTGTGTTTTTGTAGCTGTATCGCTGCACTAGAACTTAAGAAAATTGTAATTCGATATATTGTGATGGTCCACGATATTAATGTGAGACTTTTGACAACTTTTTGGTTTTGTTACATCCTTAAAAAGCAGTAAATATTGTTTTGAAGAGCTGCTCAGACTGGTTAAGAGCTTTATGTTCTGACTAAGCAATGAAAAAGTGAGGCTGCCGAACAAAAAATGTAATTTAAAAAAACACTTCTAAAATAAAACTGCAGCTTTAGTCCATGCGTGAGGTCAAATGATAAAATATGTTTATTTTGTAATTCCAAATTTGCTTAATCGGGCCGATCAGAGTCGACCAAAGAGCTGTATGTAGTCCCGGAACTGGACGCTGCCCACGTCTGGTGTAGAGTAGAGTACAAAACAGAGTGTAGTGTAGAGTATAAAGAGTGTGACGTCACCCACAGTGTTCGGCTCCAGTCAAATGAAGCTCATCGTTGCTTGTGGTTACAGACGTGAATCTCGATATGAGGAACAGGAAATTATTTATGGACAAAATGGCGAAATAAAAAACCCAGGATCATGTGGAGCGAGTTAATATGAACATTTAAGACTAAAATGACGAGACTCACAGCAGCAGGTCCAGAGAGAGAGAGACAACATTCTAAAGGGAGTCAATTGTAGCCAGAGTCAGAAGGAGCCAGAAGAGCCTCATGTGAACTTCCTGTTTGGAACCTGGCAGCTCGCGGGTTATGTCCATTTATACTCAGTCTATGTGGATTATCCAAGAAATGTCAGTCAAATCTGAAACACTCCAGACCAAATTACAGATCAGATCTGTGAGAGGCGACCCCGCTCACAGACTGCATGTTTTTCAAGACATATCAGTGTTTCCTGCAGCGCTTTATAGTTAGGGCGGCCGCATTGACAACAGTCGCCCCTCGCATTGACTATGTCCATCCGAAAAAAAAAAACTGCATCACTACAGCTTCCCAGTCCTCACTTTCGCCGGCACGGGATCTCCTCCTCCTCCCGGGCTCCACCTTGACTAACCAGTTTTCTGCGGGAAACACTGCATATTTCAATATTTTTTTATTTATCGACTGCAGAAGCGTCCCTCACCTCTTCTCTCTCCTCTCCTCTTTCTCTTCTTCTTCTCTTCAGGATGGTGGCGGGGAAGGCGGAGCCTGCGATGCCGGGTCGGCTCTACGTTCACCCCGACTCGCCGTCCACCGGAGCTCACTGGATGAGACAACTCGTGTCCTTCCAGAAACTCAAGCTCACCAACAACCACCTGGACCCTTTTGGACATGTAAGACCCAGACCGGGACTAGACCTGGGGATAGACCGGGGTCAGACCAGGTTTAGACCAGGATTAGTCCTAGTTTAGACCTGGTTTAGACTTGGTTTAGACTTGGTTTAGACCAGGGTTAGTCCTAGTTTAGACCAGGTTTAGACCAGGTTTAGATCATGTTTAGACCTGGTTTAGACCTGGTTTTGACCAGGGTTAGACCAGGGATAGATTGGGGTTTGACCTGGTTTAGACTTGATTCAGACCGGGTTTAGAGATGGTTTAGACCTGGTTTAGATCTGGTTTAGACTTGGTTTAGTCCTGATATAGCCCTGATTTACACCTGATTTAGAGCGGGTTAAGACCGGGTTTAAACCAGGTTTAGATCTGGTTTAGACTGGGTTTAGCCCTAGTTTAAACCTAGTTTAAGCCTGATATAGTTTAGTCCTAAACCTGGTAAAGCTTTGGACCAGTTGTGATTTGGTCCTCGTTAAAACCTGGTTTCATCATTGCTTGGGTCACGTTTAGGTCACGTTTCAGGTCCTGGTTGAATCTTAGTCCTAGTATATATGGTATCATTTGGGTTCAGTCCTGGTTTAGTCCTGGTTTAGTCCTGGTTCAGTCCTCGTTCAGTCCTGGTTTAGTCCTGGTTTAGTCCTGATTTAGTCCTGGTTTAGTCCTGGTTCAGTCCTGGTTTAGTCCTGGTTCAGTCCTGGTTTATCCTGTTTAGTCCTGGTTTCCTGATTTAGTCCTGGTTTAGTCCTGTCCTCGTTCAGTCCTGGTTCAGTCCTGTTTAGTCCTGGTCCTGGTTTAGTCCTGGTTTAGTCCTGGTTCAGTCCTGTTTAGTCCTGGTTTAGTCCTGGTTTAGTCCTTTAGTCCTGTTTAGTCAGTTGGTTTTTAGTCCTGGTTTAGTCCTGGTTCAGTCCTGGTTTAGTCCTGGTTTAGTCCTGGTTTAGTCCTGGTTTAGTCCTGGTTCAGTCCTGGTTTAGTCCTGGTTTAGTCCTGGTTTAGTCCTGATTTAGTCCTGGTTTAGTCCTTATTTAGTCCTCGTTCAGTCCTGGTTCAGTCCTGGTTTAGTCCTGGTTTAGTCCTGGTTCAGTCCTGGTTTAGTCCTGGTTTAGTCCTGGTTTAGTCCTGGTTCAGTCCTGATTTAGTCCTGGTTTAGTCCTCATTTAGTCCTGGTTTAGTCCTGGTTCAGTCCTGGTTTAGTCCTGGTTCAGTCCTGGTTTAGTCCTGGTTTAGTCCTGTTTTAGTCCTGGTTCAGTCCTGGTTAGTCCTGGTTTAGTCCTGGTTTAGTCCTGGTTCAGTCCTGGTTCAGTCCTGGTTTAGTCTGGTTCAGTCCTGGTTTAGTCCTGGTTTAGTCCTGGTTTAGTCCTGGTTTAGTCCTGGTTTAGTCCTGGTTTAGTCCTGTTTTAGTCCTGGTTCAGTCCTGGGTTTTTAGTCCTGGTTTAGTCCTGGTTTAGTCCTGGTTTAGTCCTGGTTTAGTAGTCCTGGTTTAGTCCTGGTTTTAGTCCTGTTTGTTCAGTCCTGGTTTAGTCCTGGTTCAGTCCTGGTTAGTCCTGGTTTAGTCCTGGTTTAGTCCTGGTTTAGTCCTGAGGTTCAGTCCTGGTTTAGTCCTGGTTTAGTCCTGGTTTAGTCCTGGTTCAGTCCTGGTTCCAGTCCTGGTTTAGTCCTGGTTCAGTCCTGGTTTAGTTCTGGTTCAGTCCTGGTTTCAGTCCTGGTTTAGTCCTGGTTCAGTCCTGGTTTAGTCCTGGTTTAGTCCTGGTTTAGTCCTGGTTTAGTCCTGGTTTAGTCCTGGTTTAGTCCTGGTTTAGTCCTGGTTTAGTCCTGAGTGGGTGAAAGTCTCTCTGTATAAATTCAAGTCTTTATTTTGAGTCCTGGTTTGGTCTCAAAGTCTCTGTACCTGATTTAGTCTTAAAAACATAAAAACCCGATTATAAAAACATCTATAAGAATAATTTGCCGAAACACGCGGAGAAAAACCCGGCGCGGGACCTTTAACGACCCGACGCCGCACGCACGTCCATTTTTTGCGATGCCGCGTCTACGCAAAAAGTCCGGAAAACACAGTCCCAAGATGGCGGCCTGGTCCTAATTGAGCGGTTTGTGGAGGATTAGCCGGAGCTTTTAGAGAGTGTGAGTGACATAACGTTCCCATTAAACTCCCGGCTCCTAATGGAAGTTCCTGCTCCTTTCCTGGTTTTATCCACTCAGACCTGGACGGGGGAGTTTCCCAAATAAACCTGTGAATGTTTGTCATTAAGGAAACTAAAGCGACGCATTAAGACCAGGAATGTGTGAGCCTGTTTTTCCCCCCCGAGTTAAAATAGTTTTCCAAGAATAGCACGGATTCCTCAGACGCTGATTCATGTTTAATGAGAGAGAAATATTCGCGACGATAAGATGAACTCACCTGCGTGTAACGTACGACCTAAAACTATGGGCCTCGGGCGGGTGAAGCTGATTTAAAAGTGCGTAGGTTTTCCGGTGGAGGGTCCGTCAGAATGTTTCACAGTCTGGCATTAAACCTTTCGGTACAATACGCGCATCCCGACTTTTGGACTTCCGGTCGTCGCGCAATGCAAACTGGGAAGGTGTTTCTGGAATGTTTCTAGTGTCAAAGTCGGATCTTTTCAAGTCTTTTGAACCATGTCGCTTTTGTTTCTGGTTCTGATATTGTCGTATTTTAGTTTTGGGATTCGGACATCGTTAACTGTGTGGTTGTTGGAGCACCATGACCAGACTCACCGGACACCAGCACCATGACCAGACTCACCGGACACCAGCACCATGACCAGACTCACCAAACACCAGCACCATGACCAGACTCACCAAACACCAGCACCATGACAGACTCACCAACACCACACCATGACCAGACTCACCAAACCACACCAGCACCATGACCAGACTCACCAGACACCAGCACCATGACCAGACTCACCAAAACACCAGCACCATCACCAGACCAGACCATGACCAGACCATCACCACACCAGCACCATGACAGACCACCAAACACCAGCACCATGACCAGACTCACAAACACACACCAGACCACCATGACCAGACTCACAAACACCAGCACCATGACCAGACTCACCAAACACCAGCACCATGACCAGACTCACCAAACACCAGCACCATGACCAGACTCACCAACACCAGCACCATGACCAGACTCACCAACACCAGCACCATGACCAGACTCACCAAACACCAGCACCATGACCAGACTCACCAAACACCACACCATGACCAGACTCACCCACTGACCAGACCACCAAACACCAGCACCATGACCAGACTCACCGGACACCAGCACCATGACCAGACTCACCAAACACCAGCACCATGACCAGACTCACCAAACACCAGCACCATGACCAAACTCACCAAACACCAGCACCATGACCAGACTCACCAGACACCAGCACCATGACCAGACTCACCAAACACCAGCACCATGACCAGACTCACCGGACACCAGCACCATGACCAGACTCACCGGACACCAGCACCATGACCAGACTCACCAAAACACCAGCACCAGACCAGACCACCGGACACCAGCACATGACCAGACTCACCAAACACCAGCACCATGACCAGACTCACCAAACACCAGCACCATGACCAGACTCACCAAACACCAGCACCATGACCAGACTCACCAAACACCAGCACCATGACCAGACTCACCAAACACCAGCACCATGACCAGACTCACCAGACACCAGCACCATGACCAGACTCACCAAACACCAGCACCATGACCAGACTCACCAAACACCAGCACCATGACCAGACTCACCAGCACACCAGCACCATGACCAGACTCACTCAAAACACCAGCACCATGACCAGACTCACCAAACACCAGCACCATGACCAGACTCACCAGACCACCAGACACCATGACCAGACCATCACCAAACACCAGCACCATGACCAGACTCACCGGACACCAGCACCATGACCAGACTCACCAAACACCAGCACCATGACCAGACTCACCAAACACAGCACCATGACCAGACTCACCAACACCAGCACCATGACCAGACTCACCAACACACCCAAACCAGCACCATGACCAGACTCACCAAACACCAGCACCATGACCAGACTCACCAAACACCAGCACCATGACCAGACTCACCAGACACCAGCACCATGACCAGACTCACCAAACACCAGCACCATGACCAGACTCACCGGACACCAGCACCATGACCAGACTCACCAGACACCAGCACATGACCAGACTCACCAAACACCAGACCATGACCAGACTCACCACCAGACACCAGCACCATGACCAGACTCACCGGACACCAGCACCATGACCAGACTCACCAAACACCAGCACCATGACCAGACTCACCGGACACCAGCACCATGACCAGACTCACCAAACACCAGACACCAGCACCATGACCAGACTCACCAGGACACCAGCACCATGACCAGACTCACCAGACACCAGCACCATGACCAGACTCACCAACACCGCACCATGACCAGACCAGACCAACACCAGCACCATGACCAGACTCGGATCTTTTCAAGTCTTTTGAACCATATCGCTTTTGTTTCTGGTTCTGATATTGTCGTATTTTAGTTTTGGGATTCGGACATGGTTAGTTGTTGTGGTTGTTGGATCCTAACAGCGGAAAACGGCTCGAGAAACGGGCTTCGGGAGTTTGCGAACGCCATAACTGCAAAAAAGGGAATCAGACGTGTGTGACTAATCTGTGTGTCATTCGTTCATTAGTTTTTCAATATAAAACCAAAAATAAGAAAACAAAAAAAACAACTATTTTCTTCATTATTTGTCTCCAAAACCAAAATGAAAAAACAGATAACGATTCGTTTTTTCAGTTTTCGATTTTGTGTTTAAATGGAAAAAACGGATAATGGGTTTCCTGTTTACGTGACTCCCATGACTGCGATGCTGAACTTTTGCACTGCATACGACTGAATCAGGACTGACCAAGATCCGGGACTGAGACCGGGACCAGAGTGGACTCCGAGCTTTGACTCCGAGCCTCCGATCTGGTCCCGGTCTGGTCCTGGCCTGGTCTCGGTCTCAGTCTCAGTCTCGGTTTGGTCTTTGTCTCAGTCCCGGTCTGGTCCCGGTTTCAGTTCTGATCGTCGTATGCGGTGCAAAAGTCCGACATCGCAGTCACGGAAGTCACATAAACGGGAAAATTGCCGTTATCCGTTTTTTCCATTTTTCATTTAAACACAAAATCGAAAACTGAAAAAACAAATCATTATCTGTTTTTTCATTTTGGTTTTGGAGACAAATAATGAAGAAAATTGTTGTTTTTTCGTTTTCTTATTTTTGGTTTTATATTGAAAAACGAATGAACAAATGACACACGGATTGTGACTGCAAACCTCTGTTCAAACTGTTTTTCTTCCCGACGGAATTGAAAAATAGTGAAAGGTGAAGGCGATGGGCAGGACTGAGACACAGGAAGAATCAAAAAGGAAAACTTTGACTGTCTAAATCATCCCGAGTTTGCAGCGAACATTTTGTATGTGGAGCACCAACAAAGCAAAACCCAGATCCTTCACTCAACCTCGGTTACGAATTTAAAAAGTCAACATCAAAGTAAAAGGCACCAACTGTTCACCAAGAAACACCTTCCACTGCAAAGACCAAGACGTGATGTTTCTGTAAAACCACAAGAACAAGAAAGTGCAGCTCAGTCTGTTTGTCTTCTGCTCCTCTCCATTAACAAACGGATTTTTATGAAATATGAATTAAATATTCTCCCTCTCTCTGTTTCTTCTAGATCATTTTAAACTCGATGCATAAGTACCAGCCTCGTCTACACATCGTCAAAGCCGACGAGAACAACGCCTTCGGCTCCAAGAACACGGCCTACTGCACCCACGTGTTCCACGAGACGGCGTTCATCTCCGTCACCTCCTACCAGAACCACAAGGTACAGCACGCTCACCGGACACCAGCAGCATGACCAGACTCACCGGACACCAGCACCATGACCAGACTCACCACACTCACCGGACACCAGCACCATGACCAGACTCACCACCAGACACCAGCACCGTGACCAGACTCACCGGACACCAGCACCATGACCAGACTCACCAGACACCAGCACCATGACCAGACTCACCAACTCACCGACACCAGCACCATGACCAGACTCACCGGACACCAGCACCATGACCAGACTCACCAAACAAACCAGACACCAGCACCATGACCAGACTCACCGGACACCAGCACCATGACCAGACTCACCGAACACCAGCAGCATGACCAGACTCACCGGACACCAGCACCATGACCAGACTCACCAAACAAACCAGACACCCAGCACCATGACCAGACTCACCGGACACCAGCACCATGACCAGACTCACCGGACACCAGCACCATGACCAGACTCACCAAACAAACCAGACACCAGCACCATGACCAGACTCACCAGGACACCAGCAGCATGACCAGACTCACCGGACACCAGCACCATGACCAGACTCACCAGACCAAACAACCAGCACCATGACCAGACTCACCGGACACCAGCACCATGACCAGACTCACCAGACAAACAACCAGCACCATGACCAGACTCACCGGACACCAGCACCATGACCAGACTCACCAACACCAGCACCATGACCAGACTCACCAGACAAACAACCAGCACCATGACCAGACTCACCGGACACCAGCCACCATGACCAGACTCACCAAACAAACAACCAGCACCATGACCAGACTCACCGGACACCACCAGCACCATGACCAGACTCACCGGACACCAGCACCATGACCAGACTCACCAAACACCCAGCACCATGACCAGACACCAAACACCAGCACCATGACCAGACTCACCAAACACCAGACACCATGACCAGACTCACCAAACACCAGCACCATGACCAGACTCACCGGACACACCAGCACCATGACCAGACTCACCGGACACCAGCACCATGACCAGACTCACCAACACCAGCACCATGACCAGACTCACCACGCACAACCAGCACCATGACCAGACTCACCAGGACACCAGCACCATGACCAGACTCACCGCACCAGCACCATGACCAGACTCACCACACCCAGCACCATGACCCACACCACTCACCAGACACCAGCACCATGACCAGACTCACCAACACACCAGCACCATGACCAGACTCACCAGACACCAGCACCATGACCAGGACTCACCGGACACCAGCACCAATGACCAGACTCACCAGACAAACAACCAGCACCATGACCAGACTCACCAGACACCAGCACCATGACCAGACTCACCACACACCAGCACCATGACCAGACTCACCGGAGCACACCAGCACCATGACCAGACTCACCAGACTCACAAACCAGCACCATGACCAGACTCACCGGACACCAGCACCATGACCAGACTCACCACAACAACCAGCACCCATGACCAGACTCACCGGACACCAGCACCATGACCAGACTCACCGGACACCAGCACCATGACCAGACTCACCAAACAAACCAGACACCAGCACCATGACCAGACTCACCGGACACCAGCAGCATGACCAGACTCACCAGACACCAGCACCATGACCAGACTCACCAAACACCAGCACCATGACCAGACTCACCAAACACCAGCACCATGACCAGACTCACCGGACAAACAACCAGCAGCATGACCAGACTCACCGGACACCAGCACCATGACCAGACTCACCAAACACCAGCACCATGACCAGACTCACCGGACACCAGCACCATGACCAGACTCACCAAACCAACCAGCAGCAACCAGACCACCACCAGCACCATGACCAGACTCACCAAACCACACCAGCACCATGACCAGACTCACCAGCACACCAGCACCATGACCAGACTCACCACAACACCAGCACCATGCACCAGACTCACCACACACAGACCATGACCAGACTCACCAAACACCAGCACCATGACCAGACTCACCAAACACCAGCACCATGACCAGACTCACCAGACACCAGCACCATGACCAGACTCACCAGACAAACAACCAGCACCATGACCAGACTCACCAGACACCAGCACCATGACCAGACTCACCACAGTCACCAGACACCATCACCATGACCATGACCAGACTCACCACACTCACCAGCACCATGACCAGACTCACCAGACAAACCAGACACCAGCACCATGACCAGACTCACCAAACACCAGCACCAGGACCAGACTCACCATCACCATGACCAGACTCACCACACTCGCCAAACACCAACACCATGACCAGACTCACCACACTCACCAGCACCATGACCAGACTCACCACCCTCACCACACGCACCAGAACACCAGCACCATGACCAGACTCACCAAACACCAGCACCATGACCATGACCAGACTCACCAGACACCAGCACCATGACCAGACTCACCACCCTCACCACACGCACCAGACACCAGCACCATGACCAGACTCACCACACTCGCCAAACACCAACACCATGACCAGACTCACCACACGCACCAGCACCATGACCAGACTCACCACACTCACCAGACACCAGCACCATGACCAGACTCACCAAACACCAGCACCATGACCATGACCAGACTCACCACACTCACCAGCACCATGACCAGACTCACTAGACAAACCAGACACTAGCATCATGACCAGACTCACCAAACACCAGCATCATGACCATGACCAGACTCACCACACTCACCATCACCATGACCAGACTCACCACACTCACCAAACACCAGCACCATGACCAGACTCACCACACTCACCAGCACCATGACCAGACTCACCACACTCACCACACACCATGACCAGACTCACCACACTCACCATCACCAAGTCCACACTCACCACACTCACCAAACACCAGCACCAGGACCATGACCACACTCATCACACACTATCACCATGACCAGACTCACCACACTCACCACCACCATGACCAGACTCACCACACTCACCAGCACCATGACCAGACTCACCATCACCATGACCAGACTCACCACACTCACCACATTCACCACACTCACCACCACCATGACCAGACTCACCACACTCACCACCACCATGACCAGACTCACCACACTCACCAGCACCATGACCAGACTCACCATCACCATGACCAGACTCACCACACTCACCACATTCACCACACTCACCACCATGACCAGACTCACCAGACTCACCATCACCATGATTAGACTCACCACACTCACCAGACACCATGACCAGACTCACCACACTCACTAGCACCATGACCAGACTCACCATCACCATGACCACACTCACCAGCACCATGACCAGACTCACCAAAGCTCTCCACATACACACCACACTCGCCAGACTCCATCACTGTGGTACAGACATTCACTCGTCACTGCTGGACTCCAGGTCACACTGTGTCTGCAGCACTTGCACGTCTCTGTTCTGACCCCAGTGGCACGAGATGTAAAACTTTTGGTTGTGTTCACACACACACACACACACACGCACACACACACACGCACGCACACACACACACACACACACACACACACACACACACGCACGCACACACACACACACCACATCATTCACCACAAACACGAGGAGCCGCGTGACAGACTCAGCTGATCAACAACCGTATCTCCATGACAACAAGCTTCAGGCGAGCAGAGAACACACACACACACACACACACACACACACACACACACACACACACACACACACACACACACACAAGCTCTCACTGGTCTTTTCTTTCACCTGTGGCTAAACACACGTCAGGACTGTTCACACTGGAGACGACAGAGAAAAAGGTTTTGGAGTCGTGTCTCGCTGAAGTTGATCTTCAGAAGTTGCCTCGTCAGACGAACCTGTCAAATGCCGATTCATACAAATATACGTGATCCAAGTGCTTTTTATCCAGCACTGTTTCTGTCACCGCGGGCCGTGCAGGTCGACCCGAAGTCGGCCTCGTTCACACCTCACTCACCTCGCTCCAGAGTGAGTGTGGAGCTGCTCTCAGACCTGCTGTTTGACGGACTCTCTGAGCTTTGAATGTGAGTCAGAATGAGTCACGTCGACCTGCTCGGTGTGAAAACGACCTAAAAGGCTGAAAAAGAAAGATTTGATGAAAATAAAAAAAGATCTGGAACTTGCAATGTAGTCGAGAAAACATTTATCTCCAAAATCTTACTGTTAAATAAAAATAATGAGATGTCAGGTCATAATATTGAGTCCATTCGTTTTGTCAGTGTCGTCCAGAGCCAAAGTAAAACTGTCTTCTCTTTGTGTTTCCTGTTCAGATCACTCAGCTGAAGATCGAGAACAACCCGTTTGCCAAAGGGTTCAGAGGCAGCGAGGAGGGAGACCTGAGGGCCTCCAGACTACAGGGGTAACACAACTTTATTTAACATTTAACATTTAACAAACAACCAGGAACACAAGACGAGGGAGATCTCATTTAAAAAGCACTAAAAGGGACTTTTCCCACTTTTGTGTGATACAGGATCTTTAAAACAGCCCAGTCAAGCAGAAGTAAACAACAAGGCCAAAAATTCAAGTTAATTCATCTGATATAAAAATGTATTGAACAGATACATATGTACTCTAGTTTATGAAACTGTTGACCTTTTTTCTGTACCATTTTTGGTTCTAAAGTTCCATACCGTTTTAAACAGACCATGTATGAAACATGGAACAAAAATTATTTCCCAAATTTCAAAGACCTGCAAAATCATGTAAATAAATGGATGTATTTCATCATATCTTGTGTTATTCCATCTTTGAACTGTTGATGAAGGTACAGGGATTTTTCCAAAAAAAAAATATTTTTAAAATGATAAAAATGTTCTTGGAAGGACTGACATATTTTATAGAAATAGTTTCCTTTCATTTTGAAGTAATATTAAAGTATTCAGAAGAAAAAAGCGACAAATGATGTAAAATCATGCACCTTCTACTTGTTTGTACAATTTTCCCTCCGTTACTTTTCCCTCCGTTACCATGAACTTTCTTAATAAAAAATCTCATGAGTCAAAAAGTCAGAGGTTTTTCAACCTAATCTTGTACCATATGGTAGAAAACTATATGAAGCAAATATTCAAACCAGTTTGTTAAGGATATGTAAGTGAGAACCAAGAGTTATCACTGTTTGGATTTATTGCCCAAAAAGTGCTGCATATTTCATTCCCTCCGTTACCGACACATGAGTTTTTTAAATTTTTTGTCAACAACTTGAAAGAATCTCACAGGTTTAACTTGACCCTGTTGGAGTGTAACTCTTTCCTACATTCTGATACTTTACTTATTTCAATAGTTCCTCTAGTTTCTGAATAAGAGACATTTGAATGTCAAAAATCTGCCCCTGTTTCCCTCCGTTAACACTTGACCAAACCCTAATACCTTTTACTTTGACTTTTCTGTATGTTTTTTGTGGTGTAGGAAAGAGTACCCGGTGATCTCTAAGAACGTGGTGCGTCAGCGGCTGCTCTCGTCTCACTCACACCTGTCGGGGAAACTGGGCTCGGGGGTGATCCAGGGACACCCGCAGGTCCTGTCCCAGTATCAGTACCACGATCCCGGGGTGAGTCCGGACCAAGAGCCGCTCTCCAACCACTTCAGCCAGAGGGAGCCAGGACTGCTGTACCACTGCTTCAAACACAGAGGTGAGCACACGGAACACAAATATAAAGGATATTTCATTTGGTTATGGTTTTTTTTTTTTTTTTCGTGGATTTTATTAAGTCTGTCACATCTTAAATGTATTTACACCAAACAGTTCATTCAAAGTTGGATGGAAATATGGGAAAGACTTTGAGCTTTGGGTTTGACAAAGTCTAATAATATTAGTCCTGTTTCAGTCCTGGTTCAATCTTGGTTTAGTCCTTGGTCTAAACCTGGTTCAGTCTTGGTGTAGTTGTGGTTTAGTCCTGGTTTATTCCTGGTTTAGTCCTGATTGAGTTTGATTTCAGTCTTGGTGTAGTCCTGGTTCAGTTCTGATCTAGTTCTGGTGTAGTCCTGGTTTAATCCTAGTTCAGTCCTGGTTCAGTCTTGGTGTAGTTGTGGTTTAGATGGTTTAGTCCCAGTTTAGTCCTGGCTTATTCCTGGTTTATACCTGGTGTAGTCCTGGTTTAGTCCTGGCTCAGTTTTGGTTCAGTCCTGGTCTAGATCTGGTTCAGTCTTGGTGTAGTCCTGGTTCAGTTCTGGTCTAGTCCTGGTTCAGTCTTGGTGTAGTCATGGTTCAGTTCTGGTCTAGTTCTGGTCTAGTCCTGGTTCAGTCTTGGTTCAGTCTTGGTGTAGTTGTGTTTTACATGGTTTAATCCTGTTTTGGTCTTGGTTTACTCCTGGTTTAAACCTTCTTTAGTCCTGGTTCAGTCCTGTTGTAGTTGTGGTTTAGATGGTTTAGTCCTGGTTTAGTTCTGTTTTAGTCTTAGTTTAATCCTGTTTTAGTGCTGTTTATTCCTGGTTTAGACCTGGGTCAATCCTGGTTTAGTTCTGGTTTAGTCCTGGTTTATTCCTGGTTCAGTCTTGGTGTAGTTGTGGTTTAGATGGTTTAGTCCTGGTTTATTCCTGGTTTATTCCTGTTTTAGTCTTTGTTTAGTCCTGGTTCAGTCTTGGTTTAGTCCTGGTTTAGTCCTGGTTTAGTCCTGGTTTAGTCTTGGCCCAGTCTTGGTGTAGTTGTGGTTTAGTCCTGGTTTAATCCTGGATTAGACCTGGTTTAGTCCTAGTGGTGGGTCTCTGGTCTGTGGTGGTTTCAGTTTATAAACAACATTTTGAAGACTTTTCCCATTCAAACAAAATAACATTTAGTTTTTAAAATAATCGTTAATCACTATGACAACTTAATTTCTCCTCACTGACCTGGTTTAACTTTGCCATTTGGCTCTAACATTCCCAAATTTGTTGTTTTTCCTCAGACTCCGGTCGTCACTTGGAGCTGGGCTGTAAGCGTCCCTACTTAGACCCCGCCCCCTCCGTCCCCGACGATCACTACTTCAGGTCCCCGCCGTCGTACGAGTCCCCGCTCCTGTCGCACCCGTACTGCTCCGACTCGCTGCCCCCGCGGGAACCCTGCATGTACAACTCGCTGGAAACGGAGCACACGAGCCACCCCGCCGCCCCCGACCCCGACGACCTGCCCGGCGCCATCAACTGCAACGTGTGGATGCAGCCGTACCCGCGCTACGGCGTGGAGGGCGTGCCGTACCAGCCCTTCACCGCGCACTTCGCCAACGCCACGCACCCGCCCGCGCCCATCGCCTCCCGGCCGCAGGGGGAGCTCTACAACGCCGCCGCCGCGCAGAGGGGTTTGCCCGTCCTCCCTCCGTCCTCCTCCTCGTCCTCCACGTCCTGTTCCGGAGCGAGGGAGCGAGCGCTGTACAAAAAGCCCGGCAGAGATTATAGCGGTTACACTCCGCAGGGGGCGCTAGCGTCGTACCAGTATCAGGTGGGACTGAACACGTGGACGGAGAGCTAACGCGCTCCATGGACACAAACGGGATGCTAACGGCTAATGGGACTGACAGATTGCACTCTAAAACTATTGAACGTTTGAACTGAACAGTGTACGAAGTGTTTGTGTTACTGCTTTTACAGTGTACTTTACAGTACTTTACATTGTACTTTACAGTGTATTTTACAGTGTATTTTACAGTGTACTTTACATTGTACTTTACAGTGTATTTTACATTGTACTTTATAGTGTATTTTACAGTGTAATTTACATTGTACTTTACAGTGTATTTTACATTGTACTTTACAGTGTATTTTACAGTGTATTTTACATTGTACTTTACATTGTACTTTACAGTGTATTTTACATTGTACTTTATAGTGTATTTTACAGTGTAATTTACAGTGTACTTTACAGTTTATAGTGTATTTTATACACTGTACTTTACAATGTACTTTATACTTTACAGTGTATTTTACATTGTACATTACATTGTACTTTACACTATACTTTACAGTGTATTTTACAATGTACTTTACAGTTTATAGTGTATCTTACACACTGTACTTTACAATGTACTTTACAGTGTACTTACAGTGTATTTACAGTGTATTTTACATTGTACTTTACAGTGTATTTATGTGTACTTTACATTATACTTTACACTGTTTATAGTGTATTTTACACACTGTACTTTACAATGCCCTTTACAGTGTATTTACAGTGCATTTACATTGTACTTTACAGTGTTATTTATATTGTACTTTACAGTGTATTTACATTGTACTTTACAGTGTATTTACATTGTACTTTACAGTGTTATTTACATTGTACTTTACAGTGTATTTACAGTACATTTACATTGTAGTTTACAGTGTGTTTACACTGTACTTTACATTGTATTTTTTACAGTGTACTTAAGAGGCATTCAGGCTCCTTTCATTTGCTCACAGCATTTTGTATCATGTAAAAATAATTAATTATGTTTAATTGTAAATTTAGCCAAAGGACAGAACAGACACAGAACAGACACAGACACAGAACAGACACAGACACAGACACAGACACAGACAGACACAGAACAGACACAGAACAGACACAGACACAGAACAGACACAGACACAGAACAGACACAGAGACACAGATGTTCCTGTGTTTGAGAGAGCTCTAGATGAGGGGGAGTTTGTCTGTTGTGTTTGACATTTGCTTTAAAAGAGTCTGTAACTTTACCACAGTCTTGATTCAGTCATGCAGCTTTTTCAGGTCTGTATTTCCAGGTCTGTATTTTCAGGTCTGTATTTCCAGGTCTGTATTTTCAGGTCTGTATTTCCAGGTCTGTATTTTCAGGTCTGTATTTTCAGGTCTGTATTTTCAGGTCTGTCATGTTCTCTGGGCCAGTTCAGCACGAGACGTGAGTGGGTCTGAGGGCCGCATTTGGCCTCCAGGCCATATTTGGGACACCTCTAAAGAACTCCTCTGATGTAACATTTTTAATGGAGCCACAAACATCACAAACGAAAAGTAATCAAGACAATTTTAGCAAATGACATGAGCACACGTAAAAAAAACACACACACACAAAAAAAGAGTACGATTTGCAAAAAAAATTATAACTTCTAAATAATCCAATATAGTCCAATAAAAATCTAAATAGATTTTTATTGGACAAAAGTGAATCTTGTGACGAGTCCTCAGATCATCTGGAGTCAGACAAACCCCAAAACAAACTCCAACTCTGCCCTTTGGAAACAGAAGGAGGTTCTGTCTCTTTTGGTCATAATCGTGTCTCTGTGGCTCAGAGGCTCTGACTCACTTTTTCTTCTCTTTCTTTATTTCTTTCTTTCTTCTCTCTCTCTTTCTCTTTAGCTCAGGTGCCATGGCTCAGTTTTTCTTCTCTCTTTTTCTTTCTTCTCTTTCTTTGTGGCTCAGGTGCTGTGGCTCAGTTTTTCTTCTTTTTCTTTCTTCTCTTTCTTTGTGGCTCAGGTGCTGTGGCTCAGTTTTTCCGCTGCCTTCAAAAGGTTTTATAAAACATGTTTTTACGAGTTTCTGACAAAGCACAAAAGCTTCTTCTGAATCTTTGTTTTTCTCTAAAATGTTTTTATTTAGCCGCATGTACCAATCCATCTGTTTTTGGCTTTAACACAAGTTTAATAAAATTAAACGATGATATTTACAAATGAGTTTTTTCAGAACGGTTTATTTCACCACAGAAATGTGTTTGTGTCTGGTGTTGTCCACTGATTAAAATGATTGTGGTGACTTGTGTTTAGAGACGTTCACTGACTTTTGTGTCTGAGTCACTTCCTCTTCACAGAGACGTCACAGCAGAGTTCATCACTAATGAATCTACTGCACATCACACCAGGTTTGTGAAGTTATAGAACTGTTTTGTGTCATGTTTTTGTATATTTAAGGAGAACTGTCGTGTGGGAGGGTGGGGGACACAGGCTTGTGGGCGGAGCCTCGTACTTAAGCTGCGTTTATTTATCCGTCTCCTCTCGGATCTCAGATGTGACGTCACATCCACACTTCAACTGTTTTATTATGTTTCATGTGTCTTACTTTGAGAAAAACATATATCATAGTATAAATATAAATATAATATAATAGTACAAATATAATAGTAGAATTCAGTATAAAACACAGACGACCAAAACCACAGACAGACACAGTAAAGTACTGCAGTAATACAGACGCAGTAAAGTACTGCAGTAATACAGACACAGTAAAGTACTGCAGTAATACAGACGCAGTAAAGTACCGCAGTAATACAGACACGGTAAAGTACTGCAGTAATACAGACGCAGTAAAGTACCGCAGTAATACAGACGTAGTAAAGTACCGCAGTAATACAGACGCGGTAAAGTACCGCAGTAATACAGACGCAGTAAAGTACCGCAGTAATACAGACACAGTAAAGTACTGCAGTAATACAGACGCGGTAAAGTACCGCAGTAATACAGACGCGGTAAAGTACCGCAGTAATACAGACGCAGTAAAGTACCGCAGTAATACAGACGCAGTAAAGTACCGCAGTAATACAGACGCGGTAAAGTACTGCAGTAATACAGACGTAGTAAAGTACTGCAGTAATACAGACACAGTAAAGTACTGCAGTAATACAGATGCAGTAAAGTACTGCAGTAATACAGACGTAGTAAAGTACTGCAGTAATACAGACACAGTAAAGTACTGCAGTAATACAGACGCAGTAAAGTACCGCAGTAATACAGACGCGGTAAAGTACCGCAGTAATACAGATGTAGTAAAGTACCGCAGTAATACAGACGTAGTAAAGTACCGCAGTAATACAGATGTAGTAAAGTACCGCAGTAATACAGACGCGGTAAAGTACCGCAGTAATACAGACGCAGTAAAGTACCGCAGTAATACAGACGTAGTAAAGTACCGCAGTAATACAGATGTAGTAAAGTACCGCAGTAATACAGACACAGTAAAATACTGCAGTAATACAGACACAGTAAAATACTGCAGTAATACAGACACAGTAAAGTACTGCAGTAATACAGACGCGGTAAAGTACTGCAGTAATACAGACACAGTAAAGTACCACAGTAATACAGACGTAGTAAAGTACTGCAGTAATACAGATGTAGTAAAGTACCGCAGTAATACAGACGTAGTAAAGTACTGCAGTAATACAGATGTAGTAAAGTACCGCAGTAATACAGACGTAGTAAAGTACCGCAGTAATACAGACGCAGTAAAATACTGCAGTAATACAGACACAGTAAAATACTGCAGTAATACAGACGCAGTAAAATACTGCAGTAATACAGACGCAGTAAAATACTGCAGTAATACAGACGCAGTAAAATACTGCAGTAATACAGACACAGTAAAATACTGCAGTAATACAGACACAGTAAAGTACTGCAGTAATACAGACGCAGTAAAGTACTGCAGTAATACAGACGCAGTAAAGTACCGCAGTAATACAGACGTAGTAAAGTACTGCAGTAATACAGATGCAGTAAAATACTGCAGTAATACAGATGCAGTAAAGTACTGCAGTAATACAGACACAGTAAAATACTGCAGTAATACAGACACAGTAAAGTACTGCAGTAATACAGACGCAGTAAAATACTGCAGTAATACAGACGCGGTAAAGTACTGCAGTAATACAGACACAGTAAAGTACTGCAGTAATACAGATGCAGTAAAGTACTGCAGTAATACAGACACAGTAAAATACTGCAGTAATACAGACACAGTAAAGTACTGCAGTAATACAGACACAGTAAAGTACTGCAGTAATACAGACGCAGTAAAGTACTGCAGTAATACAGACACAGTAAAGTACCGCAGTAATACAGACGCAGTAAAGTACTGCAGTACTGCTCAGTCTCTCAGATTCTCTCGGTTCTTCTGAGTTTGTCGTCTGAGGAAAAGGGGCGTGTCAGTTTGTGTTTCTAGGCAACGTCCTCGAACCTCCAGGTCTAACGGAGAAACAAACGCACCAAGAATCTTGCAGCTAACCGTGGGGAGGCTTTGAGGCCACGAGAGAGATCACTAAGTTACTCAAACATGCCTGGATGACTCTAAAAGCTCTTATTTTTAATGAGGGAACAACGCGGCAGAGAAAAGTCTATTCTGTTTTCCACCTCGTCTTGGAAAAACACAAATTCACTGGTGTCGCGTTGTGAAACTGTCCCTCGGCGGAAGCGCGAGGAGGTCGTTGTGTTTTTGGTTTTTTCGCCGGAGTCCAGAACCCGGAGTAAACTTAAACGCCGTGACCTCTGACCCCGGCTTCATTCCTCAGCGCCCATGACCAATGCTGCGAAGAGTCCAGGAGACGATGCTCTTAAACCCACTTGAGCAGCTGTCCCACCGCAAATCCCACAATCAAAGCTCCACCAGATAAATGTGAAACTACCAGAGAGAGACGGAACGAGGGAACGAGGGAACGAGGGAGGAGATAAAGGAGGGAGGGAGGAGAGACGATGATGAGGGATGATGGGGTCAGGGGGAGAGAGAGACAAGAGAAAAATGGAGGGAGA